TTTTATTTTTTATTTTTATGGTCTGCAACTTGCCATCTATATTTTATCTGTTGTGCTTTTGATGGTTTAGCTTGTCACTTTTCTTCTTGCAGGCCATGTTTGAAGGGATACTTGTTGATATACCATTTGCAACTTTCTTCTTGAGCAAGTTAAAACAAAAGTAAGGTTTTGGATGGCTATAGCCACTATAAACTGTTGTGAAAATCGCAATATTTGAACAAATGAGTTTTGTGCTGTGATTTTGGCAAATGCTTGGTACATTTTGTAGTGTTAAAATATGCAGCCATATATACACATAGTAATGTTAGATATGGATCTGTTTTTTCCTAGTAGACATTAGATTACAGTGATTACTTGGTCATATACGCTCTAGATATGGTTCTCTCTACAATTAATTGAAGAAATTGTAGGATTTACCATCTAGATTATCCTCAAATGAAGTGAAGTGATACACATAGCTGATAGTTGTAGTCTTAGGGTATTACCTGTGAATTAATGAATCAAAGGCCTCTGGGTTTACAATCCTGCATTTCAAATGTTTATTATGGGCAACATCAAGATTGGTTAATTATATTTGATCCCTTCTGACCTGCTCTGCCTTCATTGATGCTCTTGATTCTGCTTTCTGTGTTTGTTTGTGTCATTAGCCACAGTTTGTATCTTTATAAATGAAGAGATATTCTTTGAGAAAAATAAAAATAAAGAATCAAGAGATAGTTAGTAGTTCAATCATATGTATAACGAGCATGCCAATAATGTTGTGTAATACTTCTATAACATAGCTGACACCTTCATTGCATTCTTGATTACTGATATGTTTTTACTTTTGGTTTCTAGGTACAACTATTTGAATGACTTGCCGTCATTGGACCCAGAATTATATCGTCACCTTATTTTCTTGAAGGTGATACTTCTATCTATTTCTTATATGATTTATATTGTTGGTCTTAACTTGTGCTTTTGGCTGGCCATTTGATTCAAATTGGAACTATTTTTCCTTCGGCATTTAAACGCACAGGAGCATAGTTTTTTAGTTTTGGAACATTTTGAAAATAGTCCAAACATACCCTATATTTGGGAGTTCTGTTTCTCCCTCTCAACTTATCTCAATGTTCATCATTTTACTCTGGGGTTGGGTAGTTGAGTGGAGGGTTGAATTTAAGTTTTCATCAGTAATAAAAAACAAAAGATGAATGCTTTTGTTCATAAAGACATTATTTTCCTCCCTTGGCACTTATCATATGATTGTAGTTCTCACTTTTCTTTTCTTTCTTATTGCTATGATCTACAGCATTTTGAAGGTGACATTTCAGAGTTAGAACTCTACTTTGTTATTGTAAATAATGAATATGGAGAGCAAACAGAAGAAGAGCTGCTTCCAGGAGGGAAAAATATTCGTGTTACTAATGAGAACGTAATTACGTTCATTCATCTTGTGTCCAATCACCGCTTGAATTTTCAGGTATATAGCCCCCTTTTAGTGAGTCATATTACATCTCGAACTACATTTCTGTAATAATGATACGATCATGTAATTGTATCACTTTCAGATACGTCAACAGAGTTCTCATTTCCTGAGGGGTTTCCAGCAGCTTATACAGAAAGATTGGATTGATATGTTTAATGAGCATGAACTTCAGGTGTGGTTTACTTTTAGCATTTGGTGTTATGGTGCTTTGCAGGAAATTGTTGCCCTTTAGACATACGTCTTGTTATCAGTACTACAAGATTTTACCCTTGAATTGATATCTTTACAAACTTTACTGATAGGATGTAGATGTGATATTGGCACATATATGCATGTAGTACTTGTGTTCTAGTGTTAGTGGAAAGGCTGGTTTTGGACCATTCAGTCTTTACTTGATCTTAGGATAAATACCACTTTCATTTTTGTTTCTTAGTTTTGCCTGTCACACAAGCATACGTCTTCTGCAATTCGATTTTTTAAAAAAAAAAAAAACTTGATTTGTTTAAAAGTGATTCATCCCTAATTACTGTAGTTTCTGTAACTTTCACTTTTGGAAATTCCTTTTGTAATTATGGCTGCTATCTTTATGTTTGTTTAGTTATTCTTAATATGTCCTTAATTCTCAGCAGTAACATTCTCTTAATGTAAACTGGCAATTCTTGGTCGGAATGTTTATCATTTGCTTGGTATTGGTAAAGTCCCATTTCTTTGATGTGTTTGTCTTGTTTACAGCTTCTAGTATCAGGTTCACATGACAGCTTGGATTTTGATGACCTAAGACAACACACCAATTATGCTGGTGGCTATCATGCTGTAAGTGGTTTTTACTTGTCTTTTTTTTATTGGTTCAGGGTACAATTGGGAAATGTATACTATATTATTGCTGTTTCCGTTATGGAACATGCTTCAGATTTACTTCTCATCTTGTGCAATCCGCCATGACCTTTTTTCTCTCCCCCTAAGCAATTTAACTCTAAGATGTACCTCTGACTTACCTCATTAAAGCCTTGAATTAAAGGCCTGAAGACACCATGTCGTTTTCTTCATTATTGAATGTGTACTTTTTCAAATGGGTTTTGGTGACTTTTAATATTTTGATCCTAATGTACACTTTGGCCTTTTACTTCTGTTTACATTGAAAATTAGTTCCGCTGTTCTTTATATCTTTAAAATGGGCAAAATGTGCTTTGCCTCAATGGCATGTACTGTAGTCTAAACTTTAAATTTTGCTGCCACTTTTGACTGGTAAGTGGACAAATGGATTTTTGATTGAAGTGAATACTCGTTATGAGTTACAATGGGCTTTGAATATTCCGTGTTTGACTCTAATGATGAAGGGAGATATTTATTATTGTTACAAATTTCTTACATAGTGGGGTAATGTGATGGCCACTAACTGTACTTAATGGATTGTTAAGAGCTATAATTTAATTTATTTTATTCTTATTATTATTTTTTCTTGACAGGAACACTATGTCATTGAGATGTTCTGGCAAGTTCTCAAAAGCTTTTCATTCGAAAATCAGAAGAAATTTTTGAAGTGAGTTGCATTAGCTGTCTTAGTTTTTTAGTCTTTATCTTTTTTATTTTGGCTGCCTAGATATTTGTTGTTAATTCAATGTCAAAAGATAATGTACACTCAGAAAGGATACTAAATTACTAACCAGAGGATGTTTTACGCTAGGTTTGTGACTGGCTGTTCTCGAGGACCGCTTCTGGGATTCAGATATCTTGAACCTTTATTTTGTATACAAAGGTAAAGTTTATACCAAATAATGTGATAAGGCACAAAATAAATTGTTATTAGTTAAGTGGATGAGAGTTCTTGACTTTACTAATAATTGAAAGTAACATTTACACAGAGCTGCAGGTGATGCTTCTGAAGAAGCTCTTGACCGCCTACCAACATCAGCTACATGTATGAATCTTCTAAAGCTTCCCCCATACAGGAGGTTTGTACCATCTTACTATGCTTGACATGGTCAAAACAAGATTTCTTTAAAGTTTCTGACCTTTTCCTGAAACAAGGCAATTACCATTAATGAAAGCTAGGGCTGAATGATATGAGCTTGTGATGTTTGTGACTTTACAAACCCTAAGTAGGGGCATAGCTTAGTACTCTATGTAATGATTTTAGCTGTTGAAAATTCATGCTGTAACAACTGCTCTCATTTAGTTCATTTTTCTGACTTTCTCAAGTGTTGAGAGCGATTTTAGCTATTAAGAAATTCATGCTGTAACAACTGCTGCTCATTTAGTTCATTTTTCTGACTTTCTCATTAGTGTTGAGCGGTAGCTTGTGTCATCGTAAGACTAACAACAAAGTTTGATCTTATGTGTCCTCTGTGGCTTGTTCATGTTATTTTCTCTTTTTATCTTTCCAAAATAAGCTTTTGATGACTTATCTTTACCATGTTAAATGTCTGTTATCCAGCAAAGAGCAAATGGTGACAAAACTGCTATATGCCATAAATGCAGAAGCCGGTTTTGATTTGAGCTGATAGACCTTGTGCTTCCTGAACATTGATTTTATGCTACCACGTCAAGTGGACAAACATCCCAAGTTATTATGATCTATTTTTTTTGTCGGTCCTTTGTGTACAAATCAATGCTCAGCCATTGAATTCGGACAGTGCGGTGCAGGGGGCTGCAAAGAGTGAGGAATTGCAGTGAAAGCGAGTGAGTTGGTTGATACACAAGGACAAGGCCAAACTGCTGATTGTTTTCACATGTACATAAATGGAGACATCTGCAATATTATTCAAAGGTTAAGCTTTATACATGCAGGTCAGGAATCTGCGATAAGTATTTGGACCCAGTTGCAAGTGGGGTCTTGTGAAGGCAATCATTTTGTAAACTAACCTCCTCAAAATAATGTGTGCTATAATTCTGTAAATTGTGAGGAGAGTTCTATTATTGTAAGTATTTGTTTGTATGTAGATGAAATAAAAAATAAAAACAAAAACAAGCATTCTTCTTTATCAACTTTCTGCCATTTTCAATTTTTCATTATTGGTAATAATAATAACTAATTATAAGAATGAAAGCATTGGTGGCTTGTTGCCCTAAACAGTTGTAAGCTATAAAATGAGGTTGAAGTATCACTTTTTGCCTGCCATGAAAGTTATTCTCAAATTTTAGGTTCTCCCCTGCAATGGGTTATGTCCTTAGTTTGTCTATTTGTTCTTAACTTCAAAAAAGGGTTACATGTGGTCAATCATAGGTTCGTGGTTAGATGGCAAGATTTTAGCTATTTTGGTGGGTTATTTACAGGATTCGAGTAGTAGAAACTGATGACTTATCACATTTGTGATATATTTTGTCCATTGGACTTGTAACTGGTAAGATCTTTAATGAACTTCTGCATCTTGTAAAGTGTTTAATGGTTATAAAAAAGATTTACGTATCGTCCAAGTAGAAAGTAAATATCTATTTCTCAATTGGGTTTACACTGTCTTTTCCAAATTGTAAAATTTATCGTCCAAATAAAAAAGAGTTTGACAACACTTCCGCAAAAATAACACTACTTAGCGCCCACGCGTCCACCGAGTATCGCTACCACAACAACGAGGAGAAGCAGGAGGCTCGGCTGAGCTCTTATTTTCTTTGTTTCTGTGTTGCTCGAAGAAAACTCTTACATAATCATAAATCCTACGGAAAATAGGAAATTCTAGTAAATAAAGGGTAGTATCGCTCTGTTGTCGCTCTCATCCTCAATAATTGAATCAAGAATCGAAACGAAAACGACATGGTGAAGGTGCGTATGAACACGGCCGATGTGGCCGCTGAAGTCAAGTGTTTACGGAGGTTAATCGGCATGCGTTGCTCCAATGTCTACGATCTCTCTCCCAAGGTCTTACACCAATCCATTCAAATCCTCATTCTTCATTTTTTTTTAATATTTAATTTATCACAGAATAACAGTTATTCCTCTGGTTCTCGCAGACTTATGTGTTCAAGCTTATGAATAGTAGTGGAGTCACAGAGTCCGGAGAGAGCGAGAAGGTTCTACTGTTAGTGGAAAGCGGTGTTCGTTTACATACTACTGCTTATACAAGGTTTTCTTCATCGCTTTTTCATAATATATTTAATTATTTCTAATTTCTGAAATGTGTTTGATATGGATACTGAATTTAGAACCTATTTCCAGAGTTATAAACTATAGAAAATTTGAAAACGAACATGAAGCTTTTATTTTTCCATTGATTTCCGTATTTAAATTATATATCAAGTTTTATTAATGTTTTGGCTTCATTGTTAAATGCTTATAGGGATAAGAAAAATACTCCGTCTGGTTTTACTTTAAAATTGAGGAAGCATATACGTACCAGAAGGCTTGAGGATGTGCGCCAACTTGGATATGATAGGGTATTGTATTTTTATGCTCTGTTGGGAGTTTTTTTAGTATTTTGTTTTGTGCTTGTCTGATGTCTTTAGTTTTTTGGTAGATTATTTTGTTTCAATTCGGATTGGGTGCAAATGCGCATTATATTATACTGGAGCTGTATGCCCAAGGAAATATCCTGCTCACGGATTCTGAATTTACTGTCTTGACTCTACTCCGGTCCCACAGGTTTGTGATATTGCTCAATCTTTTGTCCATTTGGTTTGATTTGAAAATTGGCAAAAATGCATGCGTACGTCAGCTGAATATTTGAACTTATGGAATGCATGTTTAGTAGTATATCAAAGATGGGCGCTGTAAGGATGAAGCTCATTATTTTTAGTTATGTTTGCTAGATTCAAATGCATCTCATTTGTTTGTAGCGGAAAAGAATGAATCTCATCTGTTTGCTATGAGGAAAATTGCTAATGGTTTTTCTATTGTACATTCAAGAATTTTTATATATTGCTATGAATGATATAAATTCATTGATAACAGGGATGATGACAAAGGAGTTGCTATCATGTCACGCCATCGTTATCCAACAGAGATTTGTCGGGTTTTTGAACGAACTACAGTTTCAAAGTTGCATGAGGCCCTTACATCTTCTAAAGATCCTGACAATGATGAACCTGATAATGTTAATAAAGTTGGAAATAATGCATCTGATGCATCAAAAGGAAAGCAGGGTGGCAACAAGGGTGGGAAGTCTTCTGAGCCTAGTAAAAATACTAGTGGTAGTTCTTGTGTCAAACAAGCCACGTTGAAGACTGTTCTTGGGGAGGCATTGGGTTATGGACCAGCTCTCTCTGAGCATATCATTTTAGATGCTGGTTTGGTTCCAAATACTAAAGTTTCTAAAGATAAGAAGTTAGATGATGATGCAATTCAAGTTTTGTCCACAGCTGTTTCAAAGTTTGAGGACTGGCTACAGGATGTCATTTTGGGTGATAAAGTTCCTGAAGGATACATTTTAATGCAGAAGAAAAACTTGGGGAAGGACTGCCCTCCTTCTGAGTCTGGAAGTTCTAGCAAGGTTATTACCTCTGTGCTTCATGTGTTTCGAATATCTCCAGTGGAACATAGTGCATTGTCCTTCTTTTGTTCTCTTGTTTGATTATGATAAGAGGGCAAACATGGAATAGAAATATGTTAATTACTTAACTGGATTACCAGTTGAATATTGAATATTGTTTTTGATAGTTGTTTGGTTATTCCTTGTAGATCTATGATGAATTCTGCCCCCTGTTGTTGAATCAATTCAAGTCAAGGGAGTTTGTGAAGTTTGAAACATTTGATGCGGCTTTGGATGAGTTTTACAGCAAAATCGAAAGTCAAAGGGTGGAACAACAGCTGAAGGCAAAAGAGGGTGCTGCCTTTCAGAAACTAAATAAAATCCGTGTGGACCAGGTCTGCTAATAGCTTGAAATTTCATATCTAGTGCAAAGACTAATTAAATACTGTTGTGGTTATTTTGATGACCTCAATATTGATGGAATCTCTTTCTCGGGTGACTCTCTCACCCTTTTTTTTTTTTTTTTTTCTGGATTTGTTGAGGTGGGGAATGGGGTGTATGAGGTTGCGGGTGCTGTTGTCCCAATTTACTTGTTATGTAATCGTATACATGAATACCAACCCATCTTGACTGCCATGCCTTTGTGGTTATGTGACTTGAAGTTGATCCTTCCCGAGGGAGGAGTCTATATAAACAGTGATTCTGGGAGCAAGAAACCTCACCTTTGATTGTTCAGAATACAAGGAGAGAAATAGATGCATATATTTTCTTTAAGTTTATCAATCTTTTATTTCAAAATTCTAGAAATTCTTTGGGATAGAATGATCAAGTCATATAACATGAAACAATAGTGATGTAGAAATAAGTAGGATTTAAATTATTTTTGTTCAAATATTGAAGCTTGTCAGTGATAGTGTGTGTAAGGATATGCTTAAGCATTTTCATTGTTTATATTTAAGCTTTATTTTGATAATAGGAGATTAAAGTTTTTAGAGCTATTTGTATGAAATAATTATTTTATACTGGTGTTTTTACATGTTTTTTTCTGTGTAACTTTTATGTACAGGAAAATCGTGCCCAGACACTGAAGAAAGAAGTTGACCGTAGTGTTAAAATGGCGGAATTGATAGAGTACAACTTAGAAGATGTTGATGCTGCTATATCAGCTGTTCGTGTAGCTCTTGCAAATCGCATGAGTTGGGAGGATCTTGCTCGTATGGTGAAGGAAGAGAAGAAATCTGGGAACCCTGTGGCTGGCCTAATTGACAAGCTCCATCTTGAAAGGAACTGCATGACTTTGCTGTTGAGCAACAATCTTGATGAAATGGATGATGATGAAAAAACACTCCCTGTGGAAAAGGTGCTACTACAGAACTGAACTAGATTTATAGTTTTGGGAAGCCCCTGCTTTATATTCAAGCAATTAATTCCGCATAGCATTCCCACCTTTCCATCGTTAATTACTATGCCTGTAGTTGGCTTACTTGGGTCCTAAAAATATTTTGGTTTTTATATGTTTCCTTAGTATCTGTTATTTTGGTGATATGTATGCCTTAGATTATGAACAACTATGGTAGGAATGTGGAAAAAGTCATTGATTATAAGACCATTAAACATCTTATGTCTTTATGGGTTATACAGAGTACTTTGTCAATGTAAATGTTATATAGGGATTATCATCTTCTTTTTCTTCCATCTGTACCTTCTCATTTGGTTAGAAAACTTATTTTTCTTTTTGTGAGTACAGAAAGATATTAGGTCAACAAATTTGCAATATAAATTATCCATATTTACTTATTGTTATGCTTCCACGTTTTAGGTTGAAGTTGATTTGGCATTTTCAGCGCATGCAAATGCTAGGCGGTGGTATGAACTGAAGAAAAAACAGGAGAGCAAACAGGAAAAGACCATTACAGCACATGAAAAAGCTTTTAAAGCTGCTGAGAAGAAGACTCGTCTCCAGGTTCTGCAGGTAGCTTTATATTGCTGTGATGTTTTCCTCAACATAGTGCTTTGTGCTAGTTTCTTTTATTGATAATTAATAATGCATTTTAGTGATTTAGTTTTATGTTATCAATAAGAGCTCTAGTGAGTTCCTCAGTTCATGTGTCTGTGCTGTATTAGTTTCTTTTATTGATAAATCACAATGCATTTTAGTGATTTAGTTTTATGTTTTTAATTAGAGCTCTCTTGAGTTCAGGTGTCTAACTAAAAGTCCCACTTACCACCCCCCAATTGATGACTATGCAGGAAAAAACTGTTGCCACAATTTCACATATGCGCANTTTTTCTTCCATCTGTACCTTCTCATTTGGTTAGAAAACTTATTTTTCTTTTTGTGAGTACAGAAAGATATTAGGTCAACAAATTTGCAATATAAATTATCCATATTTACTTATTGTTATGCTTCCACGTTTTAGGTTGAAGTTGATTTGGCATTTTCAGCGCATGCAAATGCTAGGCGGTGGTATGAACTGAAGAAAAAACAGGAGAGCAAACAGGAAAAGACCATTACAGCACATGAAAAAGCTTTTAAAGCTGCTGAGAAGAAGACTCGTCTCCAGGTTCTGCAGGTAGCTTTATATTGCTGTGATGTTTTCCTCAACATAGTGCTTTGTGCTAGTTTCTTTTATTGATAATTAATAATGCATTTTAGTGATTTAGTTTTATGTTATCAATAAGAGCTCTAGTGAGTTCCTCAGTTCATGTGTCTGTGCTGTATTAGTTTCTTTTATTGATAAATCACAATGCATTTTAGTGATTTAGTTTTATGTTTTTAATTAGAGCTCTCTTGAGTTCAGGTGTCTAACTAAAAGTCCCACTTACCACCCCCCAATTGATGACTATGCAGGAAAAAACTGTTGCCACAATTTCACATATGCGCAAGGTTCACTGGTTTGAGAAATTTAATTGGTTCATCAGCAGTGAGAACTATTTGGTTATTAGTGGACGTGATGCTCAGCAAAATGAGATGATAGTCAAGCGTTATATGTCAAAAGGAGATCTGTAAGTAACTGTCTTGGTTGACTTTTCCAAATTTTTCTTCAGATGTTGACTTCAATTAATTACTATTGAATGGAACAGGTATGTCCATGCAGATCTGCATGGAGCTTCTAGTACTGTAATCAAGAATCACAGGCCTGAACAACCTGTACCTCCACTCACTTTAAACCAAGCTGGATGCTTCACGGTTAGTCTCTTCTCACATCTCTTCATGTCAATTATTTTAATCTTTTTTATACAATAGAGTAATTCTAATAGATGCAGCGTGGTTCAACACTTCAAGTTCATAATAGAATCTTGTGATTTAGGTTTGTCACAGCCAAGCATGGGATTCAAAGATGGTCACTAGTGCCTGGTGGGTTTATCCTCATCAGGTTAGTAAAACTGCTCCTACGGGGGAATATCTTACAGTTGGAAGCTTCATGATTCGTGGGAAGAAGAACTTTCTTCCTCCACACCCTCTTATTATGGGCTTTGGATTGCTCTTCCGCTTGGAGGAGAGTTCCTTAGGATCACATTTAAATGAAAGGAGGGTTCGAGGAGAGGAGGAAGGGATGGATGATGGTGAAGAAAGTGGACCTGTTAATGAAATTTCCGAGTCTGAATCAGAGAAAGATGCCATGGATGAAAAACTGGCTTTAGAAGGTGTATTGGTGGCTGATTCTGTTCATAATGGCTCAACTGATTCAAATGCAAGAGCTACTTCTTCTCATGAATCTCCTGTTGAAGACAAATCAATCGAAAATGGTGTTGACGGTGAGGTATCTGATGTTGCTAGAACTGGTGTTTCTCCAGTTACTCCAGAACTTGAAGATCTTATTGATAGAGCTCTTGGTCTTGGATCTACTGCTGTATCAAGTACAAAGTATGGCCTTGAAACAACTCATGTTGATTTGGCTGGGGAAGATAACCATGAAGAGAAGAAAGCTACAGTTCGAGATAAACCATATATTTCAAAAGCTGAAAGAAGAAAGCTTAAGAAAGGTCAGGACAGTATTGTTCCAGATGCAAAGGTTGACCAGCAAAAGAAAAAAGGAAAAGGAAATGATGTTTCTGCTTCCCAGACTGAAGCAAGTGTTAAAAATGAAAAGCCTGATGGTGGAAAAATCAGTCGTGGGCAGAAAGGTAAACTCAAGAAGATGAAGGAGAAGTATGCCGATCAAGATGAGGAAGAGAGGAAAATTCGGATGGCATTACTAGCTGTGAGCACAAAAACTTCAACTATCTCCTGTATTATTTAGATGGGCTGAAGTAGATATATCTTCTGCTCTTACATCATATTTAATTTTATTGTTCACTTAATTTAATTGTTAATATTTCCCTGGTTCTGGGTCTTGATGCTGTGTATTGCACTGATTAAAGTTTATTAGAATGTTGTACTGATCCATTAATAGAAGTGATGATTTATGTGAATTTGCAGTCTGCTGGTAAAGTTCAAAAAGATGATGGGGAGTCAGAAAATGGAAATGGAGATGCAGCTATCGACGAAGGGAAGAAACCTGCTGGCGGTATGTTTCTATTTATAAAGTTTTTCATTTTTGTAATATTTCATTGGTTTTAATTTTGGTACTACGACACTACTACGTGATTATTTTGCTTCTGCAAGACCCATTACACAATGATTAAACATCTCATACAGGGGACCGATATAACAAATTCTAACTGCAACTATTTATATCAAATATTCAATGTTTTGATTGTCATACTGTTATTAATGGGTCTTTATTGTCTTTTCTTAAAATCTTGCAGGTTCTGAAGATGCTCCAAAAATATGTTACAAATGTAAAAAAGTTGGTCACTTGTCTCGGGATTGTAAAGAACATCCAGATCATGCCTCAAATGGTCGGGCAAATAGTGGAGTTGAACGTAATTCCCATGCAGGTATGGATGATACCGCTGAGATGGACAGAGTGGCGATGGAGGAGGATGATATTCATGAGATAGGTGAAGAAGAAAAAGGGAGATTAAATGACGTGGATTACCTGACTGGGAATCCTCTGCCGAATGACATTCTCTTATATGCTGTGCCTGTTTGTGGCCCTTACAGTGCAGTGCAGTCTTACAAATACCGTGTGAAGATAATTCCTGGCACTGCAAAGAAAGGGAAAGGTATCCATATCTTTAAATCACTTATGGTTAACGCTTTCTTTGATGCATGTCTGTTTGCTTCGACAATTTTAATGCTTTTGATCACTTTCTCCTGCCGAGAAATTTTCTTCTTTTCTGAATCCGAGACGTCGAAATTTTTTATAAAATATACCCAACTGTATCTAGCAAGCTTTAACTTGAGTCTGACTCATATTTTTTCAATATTTTCTGTAGCTGCAAAGACTGCCATGAATTTGTTCACCCACATGCTGGAAGCGACACAAAGAGAGAAGGAATTAATGAAAGCATGTACAGATCCTGAGTTGGTTGCTGCAATTATTGGAAATGTGAAGGTCACTGCTGCAGGCCTTACTCAATTGAAGCAAAAGCAGAAAAAGGGCAAGAAGAACAACAGCAAAGAGAAAACTCAGAAAAGTTAACAAGCTTAATCTGAAAAAGCGACCTCTGTGACGACAATTAATTTTTCAGAAATTTTTTTTTCGTCAAGATCATACCAAAAATGAAAACAGATTCTAGATGCTATGTTGTAACAAATGTACAAAGGGCATGTCTTTAACCTTGACTTCTGATAGCATGTACATCAGCTTTCGGATTTCTGATAATTACAATTGAGGCTAGTCAAGGAGTATACTGCTATGCAATTTACTATTGTATTAGGATAAGGAGTCTCATTGTAAGATTTTACAAAGCTTTGTTCAACAGATTTTAAAATTTTAATCATACATTGGGTAATCAGTTTAGATGAAACTGCAGCTGACGATAGAATTTAATAGGACGAGAAGAGAAAACTCAAGTTACATTTAGCTCAAACTCAAAGGTGATTGCACCAAATTTTACAAACTTGTGAAGGGCAACTGCAGTATAAATCATGAATCTTCAGCCGATGGAACTGCGCTCAAATCTAAGCCCTCGGCGGGCAAGTCGGATGAAAGTGCACCCAGAATTCCATCAGAGCTGAGAGTTAAGCCACTCTGCAAAAGAAAAATTATGGTAAGGGGGCACAATCTCTATGCCTGGCATTAATTTTTACAATCTTTTAGTTTTCTTGAACTTCAGTAGCTGGAGGAATAATAACAGTGCCAGAAGCCAATACCTCCGGCTGGAATCTAAGCATGTCTGCACGAGCCATAGCTTCTGCTTGAGCAATTCTCTGCCGGAATGTCTGTGCCATCTCCTCAGCCTGTTAATGCAACAAAAATATGATTAGTTCATGGCTCTAATGAAATCTGTTTCCATCAATACCTAAAATTTAAGCCACTGAAGAAGATAGAGGTCATTTCTAAGAAGTCACCTTCTCAAAAACAAGTTTTGGATTGCGGATCATGTCTCCTGGAGTAGGCTCTAACTTCTTTGTTGAAAGACTTACTCGGCCCCTCTCACGGTCATGGCTCAGTATCATGACCTATATTTGTGAAGCTTAAGTTAGTAATCTTTAGCTCCAATAGTTGGCACAAATTCTGATCAAGAACTAAAACACATAGCGTATGTATACCTTAAGAGTATCACCAGGTTGAAGAACAGTGGCAAGATCTGAGACACGATCATGACTGATCTGACTAACATGGAGAAGGCCATTAATACCACCAATGTCAATGAAGGCACCATATGGTTTCAGGCTTTCTACAGTTCCAATGACCACTGATCCAATTCCAAGCTGTGCCTGGCTGTCAGCCATGGCCTTGCGGTTACTGAGGACAACCCTAGACTGCTCCTCATCAACCTCCACAAACTTCAGAGGAAGATACTTACCAAGAAGCTCTTCTGCAGTTGATTTCTGATAAATTTGGAAGAAATGGTAAATTTGGGATTAGGAATATTACATAATGGAGTGAAATTTATATAAATAAGGACGTTGATGCTGAGAAAACAGATTGATAGAAGAAAGAACAATGGGTTTGTTAGCCTAAAATAACCAAAAAAAAAAAAAAAAATGTTAACTTGTTCAACCATACAAGATCAGATGACATATGAAACAACAGCTGCCACATTAGTCATATTTATATCATACAAAAGTTTTTGATGTCAAAATAGAGCAAAAGTTGCAATTTCCAGTGAAAATCCAAGCTCTGAAACAGATAGCCACCTCAGAGGACACTAATGAATTAGTAGAAAAGGATTCTAAATCTAAGTGAATGTATAACCTTCTGAAAGGCAAGTTTCCACTTGAGAAAATAAAAGATGAAAAATTCATTTCAACATAAGAGGGCCTTCTAGATAGGCAAACTGGGTAAAATAACAAACCGAAGACATCTGTGAGAAGGGAACAAATCCACGGAGGCCCTCCACCTCAGCAACCACTCCACCTTTGTTCGCATGAACAACCTACATGTTTATTCCAAGAACTGAAAAACGTCAAAGAATTATCAAGAATCATACAGCAAATAATAATTACAAAACTTCATAGAAAGCTAAAGAATAAGTAATCTGGTTTATAAAACTAATAACAAGGACTTTGGCAAACATTTGCCAGAGTCGAAGAAGGTTATATAACTTTCAGCTAAGAGAATATCAAATGAAATTCCCGAGTTACCTATGCTCTCACCAAGTCCTCATAAACTACTAGACTTGATCATGATTTTGAAGATACCATAACAGGAAAAAAGAAAAGGAAAAAAATGTAACGCTGTTTATGCAAATACCTACCTTACCCTTCACAGTGACATCTTCAGCCTGAAGTTGCCTGCATCTTTCCCAGGCAAGCTCATACTGAATTGACTGTAAGCTCAAGATCAAGCTATCATCAGCTTCATTTTCACCAATAATCACAAACTCGTCTTTCAAACCCGGAACAATACCTGCTTCTTCCACATGTTTAATTTTGTAAATGCATGCCTCTTGGACAGGCAAATATGCTGAAGACTTCGCAGTAATGTCAACTAATGCCCCATTCTTATCTGTACAGAATACTGTTCCTTTTACCTGAAAGAAGAATTTACCAAAAAATAAACTAAATAATATTCTTCATTAATCTAAGTAGACTTGCATTGAAACAAAAGCAATAGGAAGATAGAATAAGAGTTCAATCTCCCCTGCAATAACTTGCCAATAGAATGACAGAAATAAGAAATTAACTCTTTTTTCCAGTAACTTCTTTCTAAACATTAAAAGGAAAAACATATATCCATAGTTAAGCTCAAAAAGACCAAACAGTGCAGATTAATGGATTAAAAAATGTAACAATGAACACGTTTTTTATCCTTCTTTAGGGTGATCAAATCCAGATGAGCTTAGAATAAACTGTACAGGTGATGCATTTTAAGTTTGTGGATTCGTGGCTAATAAAACAAGGTTCCCTGTAACTACCGTTATATATTATCACAAAAGCTTGTTTGCCTTAAATGTTTAGTTTGAGAAACCAAATTATTCTCAAGAAACCAGTAGAAAAGAACTCAAGTAACACTAATCCAGTGGAAAAGGTAAAAGATTAAAATATGTCAAATATCTAAGTGCATGTTGAGAACTATCAATGTAATAAATTAACAATATTATGCATGTTTAGTAAACAATTGAGTAACATTGCCATTCAAAATTACATTTCGCTAGCAAATTCAACAAGAATTCCCATAAAACCCCTCCTTCGAACTCATACCCGTTATCAAATTCATCCTTTCTACCCATCTTCTAATCCCATGGAGAAAAAACACATCAAAATTGAGGGCGAAAGCTCTAACTTGAGGCATCAATGAACATGATTTACATAAGAATTTCCCATTCAAGTTCATACCTATAAACAAACTCACCCTTCTTAACTGCTTTCTATTCTCGCTTTTAAGAAAATAAATAAATTTGTATCAAATATACTTGAAGTACAAATTAGAAACAATCCTCTCTCAACTTTGAACCAACAGCTAACCCACATTATCCTCCTATTCCTACGCCAAAACAACCAAAATAGATAAAACAAAACATAATATAACCCGAAACACAATCATATAATTGGCAGAAAAAATGTCAAATTTGTCACAAATATTTATACAAGAAACTTGAATTAGAAATTCAAAGCAATCCTCATCCATTTTTGAACCAATACCTAATATCACATAATGCACATCATACTTCCTAATTCAAGCTCATTCCCATTAACAAACTCACACTCCTAACCCACATTCTCCTCTTAATTCCACCAGAAAACAACAAAAAATAAACTCGAAATCAAAACTTTAAAACAAAAATAAATGAAAACTAGAAAAAAAAGGGTAAAATTTTTCACAAACCTTTGTGCCCAATTCAGAGTTGAATTCGTACTTCTCAATAGCAGAATGGAACTCGTCAAGAGTGAAGGAGACGCCTTCCATGGGGGCAGTACGACACCGTTCATAAGCTTCTTCAAAGAGACGCATGAGCTCCAGTCTATCTTTGGTCTGTGCATTAGAAATTGCCACAGCTGAGACAATGACTCTATTTCTAGAATGGAGCTTTTGTTGGTGTTGTGATATTGGTTTTCTTCCTGAGAGGCGCGTGGAGGAGAGTGGTGGACATCTTAGGCCTGTAAACTGTTGAGCCAAAGACGCCATTTTTGTGGTGTTCTCTCAAGATGATAGTACGAGTCTTGTGCTTTGCCTTTGAGTTTGGTTTGGCTAGAGGTTAGATAAGGTCACATGAGACAGCCTGAGCTGAGCGAAGAGAGTTGTGTGTACTGTATAGTGTTGGGTAAATTCCTTTAGCAACCCCAAGTATAAAATAATTAAAAAGTCCATTAGTTTGAGAAACTAACAAAAAAGACCCAGAACTGTCAATGACGTTATGACACCCCCAAAAGTGAAAAAAAAATTTACTAATTTTTGAATAGTATTACTCATTTGAGAATATACGTCCTCACCACCAAAAATACCAAAAATGAAAACAGATTCTAGATGCTATGTTGTAACAAATGTACAAAGGGCATGTCTTTAACCTTGACTTCTGATAGCATGTACATCAGCTTTCGGATTTCTGATAATTACAATTGAGGCTAGTCAAGGAGTATACTGCTATGCAATTTACTATTGTATTAGGATAAGGAGTCTCATTGTAAGATTTTACAAAGCTTTGTTCAACAGATTTTAAAATTTTAATCATACATTGGGTAATCAGTTTAGATGAAACTGCAGCTGACGATAGAATTTAATAGGACGAGAAGAGAAAACTCAAGTTACATTTAGCTCAAACTCAGAGGTGATTGCACCAAATTTTACAAACTTGTGAAGGGCAACTGCTGTATAAATCATCAATCTTCAGCCGATGGAACTGCGCTCAAATCTAAGCCCTCGGCGGGCAAGTCGGATGAAAGTGCACCCAGAATTCCATCAGAGCTGAGAGTTAAGCCACTCTGCAAAAGAAAAATTATGGTAAGGGGGCACAATCTCTATGCCTGGCATTAATTTTTACAATCTTTTAGTTTTCTTGAACTTCAGTAGCTGGAGGAATAATAACAGTGCCAGAAGCCAATACCTCCGGCTGGAATCTAAGCATGTCTGCACGAGCCATAGCTTCTGCTTGAGCAATTCTCTGCCGGAATGTCTGTGCCATCTCCTCAGCCTGTTAATGCAACAAAAATATGATTAGTTCATGGCTCTAATGAAATCTGTTTCCATCAATACCTAAAATTTAAGCCATTGAAGAAGATAGAGGTCATTTCTAAGAAGTCACCTTCTCAAAAACAAGTTTTGGATTGCGGATCATGTCTCCTGGAGTAGGCTCTAACTTCTTTGTTGAAAGACTTACTCGGCCCCTCTCACGGTCATGGCTTAGTATCATGACCTATATCGGTGAAGCTTAAGTTAGTAATCTTTAGCTCCAATAGTTGGCACAAATTCTGATCAAGAACTAAAACACATGGCGTATGTATACCTTAAGAGTATCACCAGGTTGAAGAACAGTGGCAAGATCTGAGACACGATCATGACTGATCTGACTAACATGGAGAAGGCCATTAATACCACCAATGTCAATGAAGGCACCATATGGTTTCAGGCTTTCTACAGTTCCAATGACCACTGATCCAATTCCAAGCTGTGCCTGGCTGTCAGCCATGGCCTTGCGGTTACTGAGGACAACCCTAGACTGCTCCTCATCAACCTCCACAAACTTCAGAGGAAGATACTTACCAAGAAGCTCTTCTGCAGTTGATTTCTGATAAATTTGGAAGAAATGGTAAATTTGGGATTAGGAATATTACATAATGGAGTGAAATTTATATAAATAAGGACGTTGATGCTGAGAGAACAGATTGATAGAAGAAAGAACAATGGGTTTGTTAGCCTAAAATAACCCAAAAAAAAAAAAAAAATGTTAACTTGTACAACCATACAAGATCAGATGACATATGAAACAACAGCTGCCACATTAGTCATATTTATATCATACAAAAGTTTTTGATGTCAAAATAGAGCAAAAGTTGCAATTTCCAGTGAAAAGCCAAGCTCTGAAACAGATAGCCACCTCAGAGGATACTTATGAATTAGTAGAAAAGGATTCTAAATCTACGTGAATGTATAACCTTCTGAAAGGCAAGTTTCCACTTGAGAAAATAAAAGATGAAAAATTCATTTCAACATAAGAGGGCCTTCTAGATAGGCAAACTGGGTAAAATAACAAACCGAAGACATCTGTGAGAAGGGAACAAATCCACGGAGGCCCTCCACCTCAGCAACCACTCCACCTTTGTTCGCATGAACAACCTACATGTTTATTCCAAGAACTGAAAAACGTCAAAGAATTATCAAGAATCATACAGCAAATAATAATTACAAAACTTCATAGAAAGCTAAAGAATAAGTAATCTGGTTTATAAAACTAATAACAAGGACTTTGGCAAACATTTGCCAGAGTCGATGAAGGTTATATAACTTTCAGCTAAGAGAATATCAAATGAAATTCCCGAGTTACCTATGCTCTCACCAAGTCCTCATAAACTACTAGACTTGATCATGATTTTGAAGATACCATACCAGGAAAAAGGAAAAGGAAAAAAATGTAACGCTGTTTATGCAAATACCTACCTTACCCTTCACAGTGACATCTTCAGCCTGAAGTTGCCTGCATCTTTCCCAGGCAAGCTCATACTGAATTGACTGTAAGCTCAAGATCAAGCTATCATCAGCTTCATTTTCACCAATAATCACAAACTCGTCTTTCAAACCCGGAACAATACCTGCTTCTTCCACATGTTTAATTTTGTAAATGCATGCCTCTTGGACAGGCAAGTATGCTGAAGACTTCGCAGTAATGTCAACTAATGCCCCATTCTTATCTGTACAGAATACTGTTCCTTTTACCTGAAAGAAGAATTTACCAAAAAATAAACTAAATAATATTCTTCATTAATCTAAGTAGACTTGCATTGAAACAAAAGCAATAGGAAGATAGAATAAGAGTTCAATCTCCCCTGCAATAACTTGCCAATAGAATGACAGAAATAAGAAATTAACTCTTTTTTCCAGTAACTTCTTTCTAAACATTAAAAGGAAAAACATATATCCATAGTTAAGCTCAAAAAGACCAAACAGTGCAGATTAATGGATTAAAAAATGTAACAATGAACACGTTTTTTATCCTTCTTTAGGGTGATCAAATCCAGATGAGCTTAGAATAAACTGTACAGGTGATGCATTTTAAGTTTGTGGATTCGTGGCTAATAAAACAAGGTTCCCTGTAACTACCGTTATATATTATCACAAAAGCTTGTTTGCCTTAAATGTTTAGTTTGAGAAACCAAATTATTCTCAAGAAACCAGTAGAAAAGAACTCAAGTAACACTAATCCAGTGGAAAAGGTAAAAGATTAAAATATGTCAAATATCTAAGTGCATGTTGAGAACTATCAATGTAATAAATTAACAATATTATGCATGTTTAGTAAACAATTGAGTAACATTGCCATTCAAAATTACATTTCGCTAGCAAATTCAACAAGAATTCCCATAAAACCCCTCCTTCGAACTCATACCCGTTATCAAATTCATCCTTTCTACCCATCTTCTAATCCCATGGAGAAAAAACACATCAAAATTGAGGGCGAAAGCTCTAACTTGAGGCATCAATGAACATGATTTACATAAGAATTTCCCATTCAAGTTCATACCTATAAACAAACTCACCCTTCTTAACTGCTTTCTATTCTCGCTTTTAAGAAAATAAATAAATTTGTATCAAATATACTTGAAGTACAAATTAGAAACAATCCTCTCTCAACTTTGAACCAACAGCTAACCCACATTATCCTCCTATTCCTACGCCAAAACAACCAAAATAGATAAAACAAAACATAATATAACCCGAAACACAATCATATAATTGGCAGAAAAAATGTCAAATTTGTCACAAATATTTATACAAGAAACTTGAATTAGAAATTCAAAGCAATCCTCATCCATTTTTGAACCAATACCTAATATCACATAATGCACATCATACTTCCTAATTCAAGCTCATTCCCATTAACAAACTCACACTCCTAACCCACATTCTCCTCTTAATTCCACCAGAAAACAACAAAAAATAAACTCGAAATCAAAACTTTAAAACAAAAATAAATGAAAACTAGAAAAAAAAGGGTAAAATTTTTCACAAACCTTTGTGCCCAATTCAGAGTTGAATTCGTACTTCTCAATAGCAGAATGGAACTCGTCAAGAGTGAAGGAGACGCCTTCCATGGGGGCAGTACGACACCGTTCATAAGCTTCTTCAAAGAGACGCATGAGCTCCAGTCTATCTTTGGTCTGTGCATTAGAAATTGCCACAGCTGAGACAATGACTCTATTTCTAGAATGGAGCTTTTGTTGGTGTTGTGATATTGGTTTTCTTCCTGAGAGGCGCGTGGAGGAGAGTGGTGGACATCTTAGGCCTGTAAACTGTTGAGCCAAAGACGCCATTTTTGTGGTGTTCTCTCAAGATGATAGTACGAGTCTTGTGCTTTGCCTTTGAGTTTGGTTTGGCTAGAGGTTAGATAAGGTCACATGAGACAGCCTGAGCTGAGCGAAGAGAGTTGTGTGTACCGTATAGTGTTGGGTAAATTCCTTTAGCACCCCCAAGTATAAAATAATTAAAACGTCCATTAGTTTGAGAAACTAACAAAAAAGACCCAGAACTGTCAATGACGTTATGACACCCCCAAAAGTGAAAAAAAAATTTACTAATTTTTGAATAGTATTACTCATCTGAGAATATACGTCCTCACCACCAAAAATTTGGCCCAATGGGAGGGAGCTCATTCAGCCTTAGGCGCAAATCAAATCGAACACGAATGAATAGACCCGTTTGAAACTCGTTCGATAAGCATGTTCGATTGTTCGAGTTCGTGTTCAAACTCGAACGAACACAAGATGTCTGTTCGTGTTCGTTCGATTAACAAAAGACCCATTCGTGTTCGCTCGACTAACTCGTTCGAAAATGTGGGTTTGGACTTTGGATTTTCAATATATATGTACAAAATTATTATCATACATATATTAATTACAAATTAAATATGTTTAATATGTTATGAAATCACCAAAATTATAAGTTATCATATATTTATTATCATTACATAAATTATCATAAATATTTTAAATGTTTACATATATATTTTGTATCAACATCCATAAATTCATAGTGGAATGAGGGTCTATTTTAATAAATGAT